AAATTTAAACTGTATTCATTGCTAAATAATTCATCCTAGACCATTTGTAAACATAATTTTAATAGTTTATTTTAACAAAAAACAATCAAATATTATAGTGTTTAATTTGTTGAAATAAATAAATTTCATTCATGCTAAATATTTAATCATGTTAAATTAATAGAAAAAACAAAAGCTGTTACTAACATATAATTGATAACATAACACATAATATAACACATATGTGATAACCTAAGAATATTTTATTTCTCAGTTTCAACACTTTTCAATATAATATACACATATATCATTGATTACAATAATAACTTGTTAAATTTAGCAAAAAACAAAAGCTGTTACTAACACATAATTGATAATATAACATAAAATTGATTGGGCATAACAAAAATATTTTATTTCCCAATTTCAATACTTTTCAATATAATATACATATACATAACATTGGGAACTAATGCTCAAAATAAAGTTAAAATTGTGGACAAAAGAGAAAACGAACTTTCAAGCTTAACATTAATAAAATAGAAATATATTATATGCGCTTTAAATACAACAAATAATTATTAATAAATATTAGGACAAGCAAAATTGAAAAGAAACAATTTGATATTTTAAAAGAAAATATTTTCCTTCATTTTTTTTGGTTGAAATATAAAATCGAAAAATTCCATTACTGAAAATAAAACAAAAGAAATAATACATTTTGGTATAAATGAAAAATGCGTGCAATATTTTCTTTTGCATAAAAAGCATACAAAAATGAAATTTTTAAAATGGAAAAACAATTATTGCATTTTTAATTAATTCAAAAAAACGGAATATAATTAATTTAAAAGGTAATTTTAGGAAATTAAAATAAATTGAAATCTAAAAATGAATAACGTGTAACGTGCAAATAAGAAAAGTGAATAATGTGCAACGTGCAAATAAGAAAGAGTGAATAAAATTAATGTTGCGGAGATGTTCCTATCATATTTTCCTTTTTTTATATAGGTAAAATCAATGGAAGATTATTACCGTCAAATTCTAATGATTGTTACTTCTTATCAAATCATCCATTCCTACTTATTAATTATTAATTCTTCACGATTGAAACAATAAATATAAAGGAGATTAATTAATCCAATACTTTCACACTGTTTGTGTCACGCTGCTATGTCATGCCGTATATATGTTCATGGCATACTGTCATGTTCCTTTTGTACTGTCACGTTCATGTCATACTGCCCCGTCCGTGTCATACTGTCTATGCTCGTGTTATACTGTCACTTTCGTTATACTGCTATGTTTGTATCTTACTACCACGTTCGTATTATACTGTCATACTGTTTTACTGATGTTTGTGTTTATTTTTGCGTCATACCGTTACAGTATGATCGTGTCATACTATCACGTTCGTGTCATGCTATCATGTTCGTGTCATATTGTCATGTTCGTGCTATAATGTTTTCGTTGCATTATTTTTTAATAATTCTTGAATCATGAAATCTAAAACATGCATGGCTTAACTTCATAAAAGATAGATTAACATGTATGTGCAATGTTTTTTGTTTTACTGCTAGAAAATAAGAAAGATTGAATAAAATTTAGTTTCTTATCTTTTTCCAATAATTATTAATTTGATATAAAAGTAATTATATTTTCGAAATACATTTTAAGCTATGTATACAAATAATATAACATCTAGTAACTATGACAAATAATATAATTGATCAATTTTAACTATGACAAATAAATAATATTAATTGATAGTAAGAAATAAATTTGTTTATTGCTACAGCATATTGATTTATTTATATTTATAAGATTTTGTCAACTTCTTAGAAAACATTTTTGTTTGGTGCTCAATAAATTTGTCAGGATTAGAGATAACAATTGAGGAAGTAACTGATAAGTAAGATTAGTGCGATGGATATGGCGTAACTAGGATGATCAATTCGCTCAACTTTAAAGCGCCGATTGTCCGACGTTTGTTTAGGCGTTGCTGTTGGTTCCGTTTTCGTTAATCGGTGTCACAGAAGACAATGAATTTTTCATTTTATCGTTTTTACTATAATAGATTTTGCAGATGTAACAATTTTGCTTATGATTCAGAAACCTGAAGTGTTGTTAGCAGTGATCAACAACCACAACAAACCTTCGGTTTTGGGAAGCGCTTTTGAGTTTCTCCGCTCATTCATTGAGATGATTACCACTTCACTGTTGTTGTTATTGCTGTTGCGATATATTTTCGGATGATATAATCTTATCAAAAAATGATTCAATATTGCTGTGTGATTAACAGAAGAGGGCACGGCACGTAAAACTATCAAGTTTTTGATTATCGAAATTTTTCTTATTTTCAACTTTCTTGAAATTCCGAATATACGCTATTGCAAGCAAATACTGATAAATTTTTACGGTAAAGTTAAAATAAAAATTAAAAATTTTCTTAAATACTGAATTTCTTCAGTTTTTTATTACTGGTTGAATAATAATTGGAAATGATATAATATATATAATATTAGAATGAAGAAATTCGATTGGACAACAATTGGAAATGATATAATATATATAATATTAGAATGAAGAAATTCGATTGGACAATTGGAAATGATATAATATATATAATATTAGAATGAAGAAATTCGATTGGACAACAATTGGAAATGATATAATATTAGAATGAAGAAATTCGATTGGACAACAATTGGAAATTATATATAATATTAGAATGAAGAATTCATTCATTGGTAATTAAAACTAAAATATCATTTTGTCTTTTCTTTAAAAAAAGAAAGAGGAAAGAAATGAACCGATAAAATGTCAATCCATTTTATTCTTTTTCAATTTATCAAAAATAATTTTTCTCATATAGGATTTGATTGCTCATAACATTTCGAAATGTAAATTTGGCACTAATTGAATGTAACTTTAATGATATTTAAAAAATTTAGTTTCGGATAACAAAAAATAGGAATAAATGTGTGGAATGATTAAGATGAATGTAAAATAATTTAGGATGCTATTCTTTTTTTTTTAAAGAATACAAAAATTAAAATAACCTAAAATTTTGCTTCAAAATTCTTTTTGAAATTTAAAGAAGAAAATATAAGTGAAATTAAAATTTGAAAATAGAGAAGTTCTATAAAATATTCAAACAGAGAAGTTCTATATTTCAAAGTCTCAAAATTTCCTTAGACTTTACCTAAAGGAGCATAAAACTACTATTTGATTACTCGAATTAAAATGATCGAATGATAGAATTGCCTAATTAAAGTTTCTTTTACTGTCGGAGATTTTATCAATCGTGCACCGGCAGAAGTGGTAAAAAAATTAAAGTTGTGCAAAATCTGGCAGCATTTTTAATCATTTCCAATAATTATTTATAACGCATTTGAAATTGAAATCTTCGAGAACAAAAATTTGTTTCAATCCAAATTTATGATGTTGTATTAAATTCTGTAAAGTCATATTAATCGATATTCCATTTCATAACATTGATTAATTTAACTTTGTGTTAAGATATCTGTTTATCGTAAAGTTCATCTGATTAATATTGATTTTAAACTGTTTATAAATTAAAACTCTGCGTAAAAATTGGAATTTCTTTAGCTATTTATTCGTTTTCCAAAATTAATTAATTCTAAATTCAATCTAAAAACATAATTTAAATGTGAAGTATTAGAAATATCTAAAATTATCTTTGTTCAATTTCACTATCAATGTTTGTCCAACTTAATACTGGTAATCTAAATTTGTCTTCATTCAATTACATTATCAATGTTTAGCCAACTTAATACTGATAATCTAAATTTATCTTCGTTCAATTTCATTATCAATGTTTAGCCAACTTAATACTGATAATACTGGACAAATTCATCTGTGATAGCAGCAGTTATAAACTTCAATTTTTCATCATCTTCATTGCTTTGTGGGATATTATTTTTTCACAGAATATTTCATTAAATTGATAATAAATAATTTTTTTAAAAAGAATAAACGACAATAAAATTAATAATAGTAATTATGCAAATGAAAATACATTTGTAGCATATAAGGAATTCTAAATTAAAAATTAAATTAAATATTAAATTTAATTTTTTGGAAAAATTTTTTTTTTTCAATTAATAAAATATTCTCTGTCAATATGATTTTTCTCCGTCTTTGTTTCATCTTTCTAGTTTTAGCAATGATTAGAATAAATTTTTTATTGAGGTAGTTTTTGTTGTTTTCCGGTTCAATAAATTTTGAACTGAAAATCATTCATTAGTTGTCGAAGAAGAAAACTTACGGAAGAAAAATACAACAATGATATGGAAAAAAAAAAGGAAATATACATACCTTAAATATTTCCAAACAAGTGGACAACAAAATGGACATAACAGAAATATATATATATAAGTTGTTATTTCATTTCACAATGATCCAGAAAAAAAAAAAGAAAAACGGAAAAAACGGAAAAAAATAATCTTACCCGAGAAAAATTTTTCATAAGTTCAAGAAGAAAAGAAATTTTATAAAATAACAACAATTTGTCAGTAATAATTTTTGGTTGATTTCCTATATGATAGCTTGTATACTATAAAGTATTACTATAGCGCAAAATCTATAAAATATTATATTGTATCGTACGTTTAGATGAATTTTTTATCTGAAGGTACGGTACGATATAATGTTAAGAAGTACTGTAGGGTACAGTAGGATACGAAGATACGGTAAATGATATGAATTTTTCATTAATTTCAACGGAGAAATGTTAGATTGAATTATTTTTCCGCTTGTTATTTAAATTGATGAATGATTTAGCGTGAATATTATTTTGTACTTCATATCTTTTAGCATCAAATTGATTGAATCATTTGAATGATTAATAGGGGCATTTGTGCGCAGAAATACATCTTAGCTAGTATGTAAAATAACGTTCACTTAAGTGAAAATACAGGTAAACTATTAAGTGATTGTCATTTCGAAGTAGAAGAAAAATTAATAGATTGTAAATAAAATTTAAAACAAACAAATAACTAAATGAGCCGCTCTTCCTTAGTAACAGTAGCCATAGGCATTGAATAGCTGCTTGATAACATACTTTCCTCGCGTGCTGGATTATATTTCCCATGTAGTTTACGTGAACGACGTACATAACGAAATACTAGCGTAACACATGCTCCCGCTAATACCATCAATGCTAAAATAATATTACAATCATTAAATTTATGTACTATATAATGAAAAAGTTTTATTTCCTATATTTGTAGCAATGAAAATTGCGATCAATAATTGTATTCATAAGCGTGAAATCTAATTACGTTACAATTATTATTTATTGTTTGTTTAATAATGATATCATTATTGTTATTGCTATAACTATCGCTAACATTAATTATTATATTTTGACAAAATTCCCCTGGTCAAAGAAAGAATTTTGAATTGGAATTATATCGAAATACACATACCTAAAATAATGGCTAAAACAATTGTCCAAGATGAAGTACTACTTCTCGTCGTGTCATCATTATCGCTAAAAGCTTCATCTGAAGGATGATTCAAATCCGGAATTAGTGTAGTTGTCGGAAGACCGACCGTTAGTTTCACAAATTTCACTTCATCTTCATCAAATGTTTGTCTGGATTCCGTGGTAGGGTCTTCGATACTTATCGTTGTCTACAGCAGCAATATCATTGAAGAGAAAATAGTAAAGAAAGACGAAATATCGCAAAATATCTTTATTTCAATCACATCTATATTAAAATGTTATTTTATTAAGATTATAATTGAAATTTCAGATCGTCTTTTAATTTCTTCAATGAAAAAGTTAAATTATGTTAGAAATTAATAATTAATTCCATATAACTAATAATTAAAATTATGACTTCTGATGAATAACAAAAAAGACAAATTTCGATTTGATGAGATATGTAAAGATATTTGGAAAATATTATAGTATTTAACTGAATGGTGCAATTAATTTTTTAATTTCTCTTAAATTTCGATCAGTAATTTACCTGTTCCAATTCTTCAATTGATTTTGTTAAACTGTGTGACCAATTCCAACTTTCCTCCTTTTCCGCTTCTTCCTCTTCATGAATTTTTGACGTTGAAGAAAAGCTCGTTGTTGTAGAAATTAGTTGATTGGATAAATTATCATTCTCAATTGTACTACTTGTTTCAGAAGTTGAAATTGATTCATCGTCCGTTTCCAGTCCATCTTGTGTAAATGAATTAATTTGCTTAAGATCACTGTCTCCGTCAATAATTGCTGCTGTTGGTATCGAAGTAGATGGCATAGTAGTTGCAAATCCGGGTAATGTGGATAATTGGATGACTGAGGAATTACTGATCATTATTTTAGGCGATGATGTAGTAGCGAAAAATTCCTTAACTGATGAGGAACGTAAAGATTCAACGGTTACATTCTCATTAAGTTTATTTGACATTTCTTCGAAATTTCTTCCTATTGAATTCATGGTAAAATTATTCGTTAGTCTAGTAGAATTAACAGAATCCCGAGATTTAGGATGTTCTGATAAAGCAGCGGTTGTTATTGTCGATGTTTCTGAGGTCATATTAAAAAAATGATGAAGTCGCAAAGGTAACTCCGGAGTGATAAACAACGGTGAAATTGTTGACAAAAATGGAATAGAAGTTGTTGTAGTATCAAATAAAAATGGCCCTGATGGTTCTGGAACCGCTGTAGGTTGCAATTTCGGAAGTGATTCTACAGGTCTGTAAATAAAATATGTTTTAAATTCTAAACTGAATAATTTCACATATATAACTGAAGAGGAACTTCACTGTAAAAATATTATTGATAACAATTGAATAAATAATAATAATGATGATGGCTTCATATTACTATCAAATTTGACCTGTTTAACTCAGACGAAAACATTTCCATTCCGGACTTATTAGATGGATGAAAATCTGCAACAGAACCGATGAAAGAAGCTATCGTTGTCATATTCGTGGCGGATGGTAACATAAATGAATTTGGAAATAGATTTGATAAATGTGGATGATTCTGAAATAGTGGAACGATATGATCAGCGAATTCAGAATGTTCCCGCATTTTGGATTGTAATATCGAAGTTACAGCATCAACATTTGCTATCGCTACTGTAGTTGTGATAGTAGTTGACGTAGTTGGAGAATGAACTTTTTTCGGCAAATCTTTGCAATCAATCCATTCTGAAAAGCCAAAATTTATTCAACTTAATGATAAATAAGATTAAGAAAAAATAAAAGATAAGCTTTATTGATATATCAAAAAGAAAATCAATCAATATTGCTATTATTTAGCATTATTGAATATTTTTGGGTCTTCCTTAAATAGATATATAGCATAAACAAACCGGATAGCTCATTCAAACAAAGACATTTGTATGTAGCATTGACCAAAACCGGAGAAATTAGTGCGAAATTATCAGAATCCAATTGACAACGTGCATCATTATCATATTTAATGCATGCTTCACTACTGAAACTATTATATTACCTAATATTTATCGATTCTTTTTCCCTGAATTAGAAAATTAAACAGATCTGATGATCACTTTAAAAATTTTCCTGCCCTTCATTATTTAATATTTCCGATTCATCTGATCTTTTTATGGCTCATTAATTTTTCCGCTAGCTCTTTCTTTCTTCCACTCTTTTCCTTTCTTCTCTTTCTCTTTACTTTTTCTTTTTTTACATATCAAGAAATATCAGAGAAGAGAATAAAATTAGGAGAGAAAGAGAATGAAAAGAAAAACAAGGAAATGGATTATTTTAATTTCACTCATTAATAAAACTCACTTCATTATTACAAACTGATCATTCGCAAAATCTTATTTATCATTCTATTTTAAAATATTATTTCAATTTCAAATTTCAAAAACAAAACAAACTTGTTAATGCATGTATCAATGATATTACAGTTAGTACCAAATGTACCTATTGGACATCGACATACCGTTACATTATTTGTTAGCTCACAAATACCACCTTGTTCACATTTTGGATTACAAACAAGCTATAAATTAGAGAATGGATAATATTAATAAATATATTAGTTAAAATAATTAGTTATTCATTTAACAAATTAATTTACATTATTCAAAGTGATAACTTTTGTAATCGTATAGCTTTATCAATTGTTATCAATTAAAGAAAGAAAAAAAAAAACAAAAGTGCATTTTCAAATGGGTTTGAAATTTATTTCGAATTATCAAAAATATAAAATATTACTTATTTATCCTTTAATCATTCCATAAATCAATAATAATTAGAAAATACTAAAAAATTTAATTGCTTAATTCGTTAATGAATTCGTTAATTTAATTTTTAAATTCGTTAAAAAAAATTAATTTCTAAATTCGTTAATGAATTCGTTAATTTAATTTCTAAATTCGTTAATGAAAGTGATACCGTATTATATGTATATGTATGGTACTTGACTTTATCTATATTCTAGCTTAACTTCATTTATATACAAATATATATATATATATAACTGTTCATAATTGATTAATATTATAGGAAATTAACTTGAACCTGTTCACAAAATATCCCGGTAGTACCTGGTCGACATTGACAACGTGGTACATTACCATTAGCTTGACAAGTACCATCATGCATACATTTCACATTAGCACATAAATTTATTTCACATTGTGATCCAAGAAATCCCTCTTGACAGACGCAAATAGCCTGCAGATTTGAAAATTAGCATATTATGAATAGGCAAAAATAGAAAAAATTATTATTAAGTCATCTTATAAATGTTAATTTATATGCTAATATAATATAATAATATGCTAATTATAAACTTTTTATAACGATAATATCTGTAATCTTTCAATATATTAATTATTGTATTATCACGTAGAAATAATAAATTAACAAATTTAAATATATAATAAAATTTAAAATAGAATAAATGAAAATTAAATTTACTCTTCCATCACTTTCAGCGACGCAAGTACCATTATTATAGCATTGGATATCTGTACAGTCTTGTTTACTGATTCTTGCTATATCTGATACTACTGATGATGATGATGATGATGATGATAACGATGATAAGGGCTCATGGGTTGCCATTGATGTAAATGATTCGTGTATAATAGATGATATCCAATCACTATTTTGATCAATATCAACTGGTAAATTTATGAATTCTTTTGTTGTTATCGGTATTTCGGTATTATACACGGTAGTAGTAGCAGTAGTAGTAGTAGTAATATTAATTCCCGGTATTAATTCAGTAACAGTTTTGATAAGATTTAAATTGCTGATATCCTTCGATATACCGGGAGAAAAATCATGAGAAATCGATGAGCTGTCATTTGTTGAGGTAATTGTTGGATTGATAAAATGAAATGGTACATTACCATTTCGAATATGAGCTAAAATTAAAAACTAATTTAAAATTTTAATAAAATTAAAATTTCTTCAACTATTCATCTTTCTTATTTTCTCTAACTCTAAGTAGTCTTCAAGATTCATATTCTATTTATTCAATTCTATATCGTCTTTCCCATTTTTTGCAATCTTAAATTTTGTAAATATAGGTCAATAATTAAAATGATTAATTAAATTGTCTGGGAATAAAAAATATTGAACTAAACTAGCACTAATTAAAATAATTATAAGTAACAATGTGTAATTTACAAAACTATTAAAAATTATTTAAGAAACATTTTTCAAGGTAAAAATTTTAATTGACTAAATTATACACATTTGCAGTCCCAGTTAAAGTTTAATGAACTTGACAAAGAAATAGTGAACATTAAAAAATTAATTTGATCGATCAAAATATTTTAAAAAAGAAACAATTAAATTTAAATTGAAAATATTAATTACTTACTACCAGAATTGCCATCTGTTGTTGTTGTTGTTGTTGTTGTTGTTGTTGTTGTTGATATTGGACAATTACATTCCAATGACATTGCTTGGAATAAATTACGTTGTAATTTTGGTGGACAATTTTTTAATCTCTCATTTTGTACAATCATATCACGGAAACATTTTGGTCCACGTTCTATAAATATATTTCAACAATATTCTTCTTATTTTATAATTAAAAAAAATCAGTAATTAAAAAAATTATTAATTAAAAAATTTCCACACTTTTTGACGAAATTAAATATTAATTTGATAAAAAATTCTGATAAGAATTTTGATAAAAATGATAAAAATTTCAAAAAAACAAAAATGTATAAATTTCGTTTTTAAAATAATATAAGCTTTTATTAATTATAAAAAAACATAAAACTACAACGATCGATATTATTGAAAGGAAATATTTATTCCATTTATTAATACACGCTGTCTGTCAACAACCATTTTTCCTTCATTAATTTGCTTTTTTTGTTTTCATTAAAAAAAATTTCCAAAATTTCAATTAACCTAAATGAAAATATGAAAATTGAACTTTTGAAAAACAAATTGAAAGCTTCATTTTCTTTTTCCATTATCATTTCATCGCTTCAACATTTCATTAAAATATTTCTCTAAAAGAACTTTCATTCTTTCGTTTTAAAATAGGAAAGGTTAAATCATACGAGCAAGAATACGTAAGGAAAATGTTCGTGGTGTGCTAATCGATGAAAAATGAATTTTTGAAATGGTTGTTTCGATATCGGTAATATTACAAATTAATGAATCCTCTGTAAGTGTCCAAAAAAATTTGCGCCATTTATTATCTGAAATAAATTGGGAAGAAAGAAATTTCTTCATTTCTCAAATTTCCAACAAAAAAAAGAATTAATTAAAAAAATTAAGCTTTTTGTCTAATAAATATATTTCAATTGTTTTCTTGTAACTACTAAATAATTAAAATTTAATAAAAATTAATTAGTAAAAATTAACTATTTCAATCACATTTTTGTCTTATAATTATTTTTAGGTTGTAAAATTTGCAATAAATTTAATTTTATAATTTTGAGGAAAAAAAAATGAAAAATTTGCTGCAATTATTTTGTTTTAAAATTTTCTATTTCTATCTTTGTAAATTGATTTGAAGAAAAAAAAAACAAAAGAAAAAGGTTAATTAATTAATCAATTAATTAATGGATACGAAATAGAAAATTGATCCATGGTAACATTCCGATTCTCAATGATATCAAATTAAAATCAATCATTCGTTAGTATCATATGATAATACACAATGATTGAGTAGGTTAAAATTTAAAAAAAATTTTTTCTAACGTTTACTCACCTCGTGGAGCATATGATGCGCAATTACCAAGATGATTACCATTTGAGCTGTCAACAACAATCAACAAATTAGTCATTGGTGATTCTTTCGACCTGAATTATTTTAACTGTTTTTCTACCTATTTTCTTTTTTGGCGGAAAGAAATTCACAAAATAATAAAGTTGAAGGAAAGATAAAAAATAAGAGAGGAAGAAAGAAAAAAGCAATAAAAATTACAATTTAAATTTAAATTTAAATTACTGAATGAGTGTAGGAATATGAATGATCGGATAACTTAAAATGATAGTAAATAAATTTAGCACAAAAAAAGTTTTGTTAAATTTAGAGATAGTAATATAAAAAATTAAAACAATATTTGAAATTATTTATCTACGACAATTAATTAGTTAATTAATTAACGGTAATTAAATAAACATTTTGAAATTTCTTTTATTAAATTTTCCCAAAAAGAAATATTACAAAAGAACATTGTATCATTACTGTGATTAAATTTTAAAGATTTTTTTTGAAACCTTTTTCCTTTTCTAATTTATGTGTAATTTATAAAATAAACCTAATTATATAAACCTAATTATAAAATAAACCTAATTATAGGTCATACACTTGGCAGATTTATTGATGAATAAAAGATATGCTTTGTGAATTGTTGATAATACTTACTCAATGTAATAATACTGTCCAGTCCATGGTAAAGCATTTTCATCGATAATCCACGACATACGTCCACGTTTTGGATCGGTAAAATGAGATGTTGTAATTTCCGCATTTTCATCAAATGCTGCTACTGCTACTATCACTTTTTGCAAAAAAACTAAAAATTATTAACTGAATAATAAAAAGAGAAGAGAGAGAGAGAGAGGGGAAGAAAAAGAAGATTATTTTAAATGTTATACTTTATTTAAGGTTATTTTTAGATATACATCACTATGTTTAATTATAATATAATAATAATTAATAATTAAGACTATAAAAATTAATTGTAGTATCTTTTAAAAGAATCTCTTCCCTATCTTTCTTACCTTCTAGTTAAATGCATAAATTGGAAATTAAATTAAGACTAAAAATATCATTCGATTATCAAATATAATATCATATCTCTGATCAAAATGACAATAATAATTAATAATTAACAAATGATAACAATAACCTATAACTATACTTATGTAAAGGAAACTATTCTAATAAAACTCATATCTTCTTATAAGTTATCCCTTCTACCTTCCATTTATAAATTATTATTGGAAATATAAACCTATAAAAAAGAGAGAGCTTAATTTCTATCAAAATTAACAAAATACTAATTAAAAGAAAAAAAGCATAAACTAGAATTAAAAAATAAAAAATGAAGAAACAAAGAAAACTTACCTTGCAAAAATGATATGAATAGAAAAATGAAATAATTGGAACGAAATGTATGCATGACAACAACATTCGACGTTTTACTACAAACTAATTTATTTGTTGTACCAATTATAGCATCAAACAAATATATATTTGAAACTAAAATGAATAAAATGATGATAAAATAAGAAGATTAGTAAATGTATCCGAAAATATCATCATAAATACTTTCGTAATACGTAAATTATCATGATTAAATAAATGAAAAAAAAGCGAGAATTCATCATTTTCCGAAAATATCATCATAAATTCTTTCGTAATTCGTAATTAAATCGTATCATAATTCGTATCATCATAAGTTCTCATAATTCGTAATTAAATCGTATCATAATTCGTATCATTATAAATTCTCATAATTCATAATTAAATTGTATCATAATTCGTATTATCATAAATTCTTTCGTAATTCGTAATTAAATCGTATCACAATTCGTATCATTATAAATTCTTTCATAATTCATAATTAAAATAATTTTATAATTCATAAGAATATATAACTTATTTTTTAAAATAGATATTTTTAAATACAATAATATAATAATGGAATATAAATAATATTTTTAAAATTTTTAAATATAATATTTTTAAATATAATAGTATAGTAATGGAATATAATTATAATATAATAATGGAATATAAATATAATATAATAACGGAATATAAATATATGGTAATGGAATATAAATCTAATATAATAATGGAATATAAATATAATGTGATAATGGAATATAGATAAAATATAATAATGGAATATAAATATATGGTAATGGAATATAAATCT